ACAATAAGATCCCCTATGTGCTCTTTTTTATGATATTGAAAGTATGACTCAGGATTTGAGCAATTCCCCTGCAACCTTCCAGTGACTGATGGAGCAAATGGTCGGTGACATGAACTTGATAGCAGTGTGGTGTATATGAATGAACTAATTTTGTTTTTGTAAGTTTTTGTAAGAATACTGGAGGAGTATGAGCAACATTTGGAGAAACTACTGATGTGACTTCATGAGGAGGAGAAGAAACTTTCTTTGGGGAAGTACCAGTTCTGCCGCCCGTCCATCATCTATCTAGGGCATGTTGTTTTTTCACCTGAGGGTGTAGCCATGGACTGCAGCAAGTTGTAAGCTGTTGCCACTTGCAAAGACAATGGCGTGTGGCACAGCTGAGATTGTTTCTGGAATTCTGCTCCTGTTATTGAAGGCTTGTGAAAGGGTTTGACAGAGTAGCTTGACCCCTCATTAATATTCTAAGGAATGATGAAGATGATTTTAAAGTTTTCAAACCAGATTTGCCAAGCTAAATGGCTAATGAAATCTTGAAAGTCGATACCAGAAAAGTGGTCCAACTAATGCCTTTAAACAGCTAAAGCAGGGTTTAACTGGTACCTGTTCTAACCCATGCTTATCCTGCTTGGCCCTACAAACAACATCTGAGTTGAAGGGGACTTGATGGAATTTTGTATCAAGGACATGATGGGCATCTAAGACCCATTACATACTAACATACTCGACTTGATGAACTACGTGGTCTTTTTTCCTCCATTGATTTTCTATGTTTCTATTTACAGAAATGCCTCCTTTAATCAGTTTTTGTTTCTTCTCAAAGGATACAGTAGTACAGTACTCCCAGACTTTAGTGTAAATTATGGAGCAGGCGTGCAGTAAGAACTATATGTGTAGGTAGGGAACTCAACAAGTCCTTATAAGTATTGTTGGCACTTCAAGGGTTAACTCTCATTGGTTCCGGAACACTTTTCTTTAGCATCGCTTAGGAGGCTGAAGAGATCTCTCCAGTGATAGATAAGGACAGCAGAGAGTGCAATTTGAGTGTAGTAAGTAAAACACTTTTATTGTGGAAAAGAAACATAGCAACCTACATACCAATAGTTAAACTCCCTTGTCATAAAGGGCATCCTGGTGTAATGGATTCTCAGTAGAGCAAGGCACAGTGATCCAGCCTGAGAGGCGGGACACAGGACCTGCAGCTGTGTAGCTAGGCTGTGCATGCTGTGGGCTACTCTCCAGCTGGATTCTCTTCCTGGCCTTTCACATCTCCTGCTTCAGTTTGGCCTCCAAACGAGAGAGTTTCTGTTCCAGGGAGGATGCCCTAGATTTCATCGGTTTGTATGTAAGTTCCCATTTGCCTTTTTCCACAATTAAAGTGTTTTAGTTACTACACTCAGATTGCACCCTCTGCTGTGATGTACTCCCAGTTCTACATGATGAACACAGTCAAATGGGATCAGATATCACATTAGTCAGAGGTTGGTTCTATTTGCTTCGCATGAGAACAGGGAAAAAGAGTTACTGCTGCTTTTGTTTGTGGTGTGTGCAGCTTACAACTACCCACTAGAGATTCCCCAATGGACCACCAGCAAAATCAAGGTCCCATGGGGTTACTGTGTTGGAGCCTGACACATTTTAGTGGTGATTGACTATCTTACCCATTATTTATTATTACAGGTATTTATATAGCACCAACAAGATTTTCTCATGAAAAATCAAAAAGTATACTTGGCTATGATATTATTTCACTTACCATGAATTGGGATGAATGAAGGTATTTTGGTTAAATTGGTTTTGCTGCGATGTTGCCTGATTTTGCCATCACCAACATTTGTATGGAGGCTCCAGTGTCAGACTACAACAGCACAGCGGGAGGATTCTTTCATCCACCTTGCTTGTGTATGTTGTAAATAAGGGAATCAGTTTGTTTGTTTTTTTTAGCTCAACCTGCCTGCTAAACAGAAAAAAACTAAGTGTTTATACCCACTTTTAGTCCAAAACTTACCCATAGTGTCCAATTAGGGTTCATCCTTATTATCGTATATGCTGTATCTTCATAATTATTAGATGAATCAAAAAGTCCAATTAATCACTATGGGGAACTTCTCCATTTTTGTAGAGAACATTTTTTTGCAGTTATAGATAGGTCACTTTGTGTTAAGTGTTACAACAGTATGATCCAGTAATCTATGTAACTAGTAGTAATAAGTGACTGGAATTGAAACCGGCAATAGCTGTGTATACAGTAGGATGTTTAACCCTAATTGAGATATATATACAAGTTACTAAGAGCCAATTACAAAAATTAATGAATGTTGGCCATCATTTAGCCATAAAGCATGACATTACAGAAAAGCTGGTCACTTATCTTTCCCTTCTCTACTTTGTTAGCTTTACTAGTGCGACATCGGTTACTGTATAGCATACAGTATACGAACAAAATTGATAAAAAAAATAAATCCTATCTAGGCAGAAGCTTGAAATACTAGCATCAGTCCACCACATCTTACCAGTAGATTGTACTATATAGGCTATCAATAAAGAATGACAGAATTGGTGCCCCAGTTGTTAAAAGTGGATAAAAAGAGAGTTAGTTCATAGCAGGTCCATGGGAATAATAAACATATATAGCAAGAATCAACAGCACAAGTGTTATCTTTCTTCATGCCCCATATACTTGGAAACATGAACATTTTAAATATACAGAATACAAGGCAAATGACAAACATTACCCTAAAACACAGCTATGAACATGTAAACTACAATTCACAAATGAGCATGCTTGCAATGGCAATGTATGGCAATGCACATGCCTCTTGGATTATAATCCTGTGAATTGCTGATTTATGGTATTTTTAAATGAGCTCTATAAAAGTGGAAAAACATTGGACCCTTTGCTTTGTATATTTGTATTCCTTTACTAAATACAGAACAATATAATTTATTTTCATTAAAGCAGCCTTTCTCAACTTTTCTTTACCCTGGAAGGACCCTTAAAATATTTTACAGGTCTCAGGGAACCCCTGCTAATATATATTATACATTAAGGTTGCGGTATATTAGCATGATCACTAAATTGTAGAACATTTCAAATATTAGAATGAATAGCATGACATACCTAACGTATTTGATTCACAATGTTTTACACCGTTCTTCACTATACTATGCAGAAATAAACTTGAAAGTAAATGAATAATAATAGCAGAAAAGGAATGCAAACCTTAAAAAATGTGGTATCCCCTAACATTAGTTGTCAGTGTAGACATGCTCTTTTGTATTGGTGGTTAGCATAGGAAGGAGATTCATCCAACATTGCCCATTGTTTAAGGAATCCTCTGGCATTCTGAACCCTGGTTGAGAAAGGCTGCATTCAAGTGATGTTAATATTACTAGCAATGGTTTTAAGAAATAGTTGAAAAAGTTATAATGATTTAAGTAGAAATTCTCCACATTAAATACATATTTGTTACCTTATACTGTGTTATTGACAGAGCCAGGAATAGTGGATCTGAGTGGTGTCAAATGGCAATAGCAAATTTCATATCTTTTCAAACATCAATCTGATATGAAGAGCTCCAAAGGAGAAGAACACAATCCGAATCTTGTAGACAGAGACTGAAATGGACATTCACCTAAAAGACCTGACCCTAGAGAACATGCAACATGTTCCTGTCAATCAAAGGATCCCACGCTGGCAGTCAGTTCAAAAATTGTCACTATTTTTATCTCAACACATCCACCCTTGACAAAATAAGAGTTGTTTGCCCTGTCAGATCCCAGACAGAAATGCATTAGCTGGACTGGCACTGATTCTGCTGCATTAGGGTGAGACTGGGACACAAATTTGAACTTATGCTAGCTAGTACAAGTTTAATCAGGTTCAGGATTAAAAACTCTGGTTGGTAAAGGTTACACATAAGGAACAGCACTTTGAATGCCCTGTGTATTCATAGCTCCCAACTTTCTCAGATGAGAAAGAGAGACACATTTAAGCACAAAGTGCAGTAGTTCAAGGATATCTTCCTGTTACACGGACCATGAAAAAGTAGTATGCCAAAAATGATTGCTTAAATCAACAAGCGCTATTTTTTTAATAGTCTCTTTTTTCTTTATATCAGCAAAACAACAAACACAATCATTTAGAGCAGGGGTGTTCAACCTGTGGCCCTCGACCTCAAACCAGAGTCGGGGTCGGCAACCTGTTGATCGCAATCTGGGCTTGTCGACCCGCCATTCAAGACAACCAAAGTGTATCGAACCGGGGAGGAGCAGCAGAGAAAGCAGGCAGATGCGGGGGGAGCAGGAGTTGTATAAGCCAATGATTCCTCTGTAGCGCCGGCTCCTGTCCGAGGAAGAGTGATATCAAGTGTACTTTGTCCCTGGGACCTTTCTAGCAGCCAGGAGACAGAGAGCATTGCCAGCAGAAGCTGGAAGAGGAACCTGTTGATCGTAATCTGGGCTTGCCGACCCGCCATCCCAGAGCATCAGAGTGTATCGAGCTGGTGGAGGCAGCTGTGTATTTGAAAACAAATTTGAAATGTAAAAAAAATTTCTGACTTGCTGATTTCCTTCAAAGACTGTGTGTATTAGCATATAATAGAATAGCCATTAAAACAATAGAGTAGAAAAGAATAGTAGAGAAAATCAAACAATGGAATAGAAAAAAAAGAATAGATTACAATAGATTAGAGTAGAATAAAATAAAACAGAATTTAGCCGTCTTCCAAAATTCAAATTTCAAAAAGAATTGAATAAAACAGAATAGAGTAGAAAAGAAAAGAATAGAGTAGAAAAAAATCAAATAAATTAGAAAAGAATAGAAAAAATATAGCTGTCTTCTGAAATTCACATTTAACCACCTCTCGCCCACCATATAGTCCAATGACGGGCGCAAGGTAGTTCTCTTATTCTGGGAGGATGTCATATGACCGTCCTTCCATTCTCACCGCACATGCGCGGCTCAGGGAGCGCGCAGTGCGGTGATCGGCGGTGCGCTGTGTCCCTCGGACACAGCTGATCACCGATCACGGAAAGAGCCAAAGATGTCGGCTCGGTCATGTGATCAGCTGTGTCCAATCACAGCTGATCACATGTAAACAGGGGAGAGCCGGTAATCAGCTTTCCGCGGAGGGGACATGTACACTGATCATCAGGGCACTGATGATCAGTGTACCCTGATGATCAGTGTAGCCCCAGCAGTGCCGCCTGTCAGTGTCCATCAGTGCCTTGTGTCAGTGCTCATCAGTGCCTCATGCCAGTGCCCATCAGTGCCACATCAATGCCACATATCAGTGCCTACCAGTGCACATCAATGACACATATCAGTGCCCATCTGAGCTGCCTTTCCGTGTACCCCATCAATGCCAGTCAGTGCCACCTATCAATGCCAGTCAGAGCCACCTATCAGTGCTGCCAATCAGTGCCACCTATCAGTGCTGCCAATCAGTGCCACCTATCAGTACCAGTCAGTGCCGCCTATCAGTGTGCATCAGTGCCGCCTATCAGTGCCGCCTAACAGTGCCAGTCAGTGCCGCCTATCAGTGCTGCCTATTAGTGCCATATATCAGTGCCATGTATCAGTGCTGCCTTTCAGTGCCCATCAGTGATGCCTGTCAATACCCATCAATGACACCTACCAGTGCCTCCTCATCAGTGCCCATCAGTGCCAGCTATCAGTGTCCATCAGTGCAGCCTATCATGCCCACCACTGCAACGTCATTAGCGTATATCAGTGAAGATGAAAAATCACTTATTTACAAAATTTTATAACAAAAACTAAGAAAAAAACTTTTTTTTTTCCAAAATTTTCTGTGGTTTTTGGTTTGTTTAAGAAAAAATAAAAAACCCAGAGGTGATTAAATACCACCAAAAGAAAGCTCTATCTGTCACAAAAAAATTACACAAATTTCATATGGGTACAGTGTTGTATGACCGCGCAATTGTCATTCAAAGTGCTACAGCGCTGAAAGCTGGAAATTGGCCTGGGCAGGAAGGGGGTATAAGTGCCCTGTAGGATAGTGGTTAAAAAAGAATAGAATAAAACAGTGTGTGGAACGTTGCGGTAGTTCATTGAATCTTCCTGTCAGTGTATCTGCTTGCCCATAAGGGATGTACGGGCAAGCAGATATTCTGACAGTCTGCAGGAGATCTGCTGATTGCTGGTGCAATGCTTTACAGACTCCTGCAGCCAAAAATAATAAATGCACTTTTTTTTACCTGCAAAAAAATGTGCATTTATTATTTTTGTACAAAAGCTGAACTTATCCTTTAAGAAAGTATGTAAATGATTGTAACACTGTGTGCAAGCTATACTATAAAGCAGAAGAAAAGTGATTTGAAATGAAAAACAAATGGCAGTGAGCCAATGAAAGAGCTTTGAATTTATTTCATAGCCGAGTTCAACAATCAGTTGTATGTTGTAATCTTTAGCAGCCAATCTGCCTTCATATTTCAACTGTGTAGTATCATTAGACTGTCTAAAGATAACTGATGCTTATCCAGTGTCTTGTATTACATAACACTGCTAGTAGCGCTTAGATCTAACCCAGTGGTTCTCAACCTTTCTAATGCCGCGACCCCTTAATACAGTTCCTCATGTTGTGGTGACCCCCAACCATAAAATTATTTTCGTTGCTACTTCATAACTGTAATTTTGCAGTGGGAGGACTAGCGCCCCATCATTGGTGTCAGTGGAAGGAGTAGTGCCCCATCACTGATGTCAGTGGCATGAATAGTGCCCCATCGTTGGTGTCAGTGGGAGGAATAGTGCCCCATCATTGGTGTCAGTGGGAGGAATAGTGCCCCATCGTTGGTGTCAGTGGGGGGAATAGTGCCCCATCGTTGGTGTCAGTGGGGGGAATAGTGCCTCATCGTTGGTGTCAGTGGGGGGAATAGTGCCCCATCGTTGGTGTCAGTGGGGGGAATAGTGCCCCATCGTTGGTGTCAGTGGGGGGAATAGTGCCCCATCGTTGGTGTCAGGGGGGAATAGTGCCCCATCGTTGGTGTCAGTGGGGGGAATAGTGCCCCATCGTTGGTGTCAGTGGGGGGAATAGTGCCCCATCGTTGGTGTCAGTGGGGGGAATAGTGCCCCATCGTTGGTGTCAGTGGGGGGAATAGTGCCCCATCGTTAGTGTCAGTGGGGGGAATAGTGCCCCATCGTTGGTGTCATTGGGAGGAATAGTGCCCCATCGTTGGTGTCAGTGGGGGGAATAGAGCCCCATCGTTGGTGTCAGTGGGGGAATAGAGCCCCATCGTTGGTGTCAGTGGGGGGAATAGTGCCCCATCGTTGGTGTCAGTGGGGGGAATAGTGCCCCATCATTGGTGTCAGTGGGGGGAATAGTGCCCCATCATTGGTGTCAGTGGGGGGAATAGTGCCCCATCATTGGTGTCAGTGGGGGGAATAGTGCCCCATCATTGGTGTCAGTGGGGGGAATAGTGCCCCATCATTGGTGTCAGTGGGGGGAATAGTGCCCCATCATTGGTGTCAGTGGGGGGAATAGTGCCCCATCATTGGTGTCAGTGGGGGGAATAGTGCCCCATCATTGGTGTCAGTGGGAGGAATAGTGCCCCATCATTGGTGTCAGTGGGAGGAATAGTGCCCCATCATTGATGTCAGTGTGGTGGAGGGGGAAATAGTGCCCCATCTTTGGGGTCAGGGGGGGGAATAGTGCCCCATCGTTGGTGTCGGTGGGGGGAGGAATTGTGCCCCATTCTTGGTGTCAGTGGGGGGAGGAATAGTGCCCCATCGTTGGTGTCTGTGGGGGGAGGAATAGTGCCCCATCGTTGGTGTCAGTGGGGGGAGGAATAGTGCCCCATCGTTGGTGTCAGTGGGGGGGAGGAATAGTGCCCCATCATTGGTGTCAGTGCGGGGGGGGGGAGGAAATAGTGCCCCATCATTGGTGTCAGTGGGAGAAATAGTGCCCCATTGTTGGTATTAGTCACACAAATGATGGGGCACTATTCCTCCCACTGACACCAATGATACTTACCTTGCTGACCCCTGCTCCAGCCTGGGCTCGCTCTCTCACTTACCTGTCAGCTGTCTTCCTTCTCTGGCCGCTCTCCTCTTCACTTACTCCGGCAGTTCCCTCGATCTTCTTAGATCTACGCGCGCTGCTGCTCGGCTCCTCCTCTCCAAGCTCCACCTCCTCGTCGGTGATTGGCCGCCTGTGTGCCTCTCCTGAGCTACAGTTCCGGTGGCCAATCAGCGGCGAGGAGGCGGAGTTGTTGAGGGATCCCGGAGGTGTGGCCAGGTGACAGGGCAGCGTGTCATCCCGCCCACACATCGACTGAGTCAGAGGAGCGGTGTCTCGGTTCCTAAGACCATCGGAAATATGTGTTTTCCGATGGTCTTAGGCGACCCCTGGGAAATGGTCGTTCGACCCCCAAAGGGGTCGCGACCCCCAGGTTGAGAACCGCTGATCTAACCTATCATTTACTTTTCTAAAGCACTGTGGGGTTTATTTACTAAAGTTGGTTCACTCAGAATCTGGTGCATCTATGCTTGGTAGCCAATCAACATCTAGCATCAGCTTGTTCAGTTAAGCTTTAGCAATAAAACCTGGAAGCCGATTGGATTCTATGTAGAAGTATATGAGATTCCGAGTGTAGTAAATAAACCCCTGTGTCTTATAAACATTTTTAAAGTTTTTCCATCTCAAAGCTATGGATTTCTTCCAGTTTTTTCCAGACAATTTCTGTCTATATTAATTTGCCCAACTCTCTGTTGCAAATCATTGTTCTGGACCGGCTTGCAACTGGACATTCTGTCACATTAATATATTGCATCATGGCTTATGCCTGCAGACGAGCACTTTATGTGACAGTGGATTATGTGGCACTGGCTCAAGTTCAATCTAGGCTAACACAGTCAAGCAATTCAATTCATAAGGCCATTGCCACCAACACTCATCATACTCCCCTATCTTTGCATTGGGTATTATGTGTTGTTTGTTTTGGCTTCTCCTGTCCATCCTCATGTAGGAATTCCTGGCAGCAGGACTATTGGGGCTAAGTCGAACATTGGCTTCACAGGTTTAGTGCCTTGGTTCAATTGCTGTGTTTCTGTTAGATTGAGTTTTAGGAGCTGGTGTGCATGGACTGGTGCTAGTGGTGGTGGGTAGCCTCTGTACTATCAGGAAAGAACCAGCTATTAGCAGGGGCCCCTGCAGGGGTAGCACTACATGAGAAGTTAGTGATTTGGTTTAGCTCTACTCCAGGACAGGGGCGGACTGACCATTTGGAAACTCGGACACTGCCCGAGGGCCCGGGGTCAGTAGGGGGCCCCATGAGATGCCTCTGGTTCCTTTTTCATAGGGTTTTTTGAGTTTGGGCAAGGACACAGGGGCCCCATGATCCACTATTGCCTGGGGGCCCCATGAGTTGCCTGTCTGCCCCTGCTCCAGGGGGAACATTTATAAAGCAGGGCGTGTGACATTCACCAAATATTTACTGCAGGTGAATCTTCCTGGCACATGTGTAAATTGGAGGCAATGAAAAACCATCTATGAATGTTTTGTGTAGTGTACTGTGTGTTCATAGATTTTGCTGTTAAATTGTCTTGAGCGTCCATAAAAAGCATCTATTTATGCAGACAAAAGTGGTAAAGAAAATCTACTAATGTGTTTATGGTAAATACTATAAATGTAAATATTGCAAATGCTAGTTTCTTTTCCAATAATTTTTATAAAAAATGTCAAACAAGTAAAAAAGAGAACATTGTAAAATATGACATGATAGATACAATGCTGCCTTCCTCCACATACAGAGGACAGTCACATTCAAGAATAACAGAAGACACTTTTATTCCATTGTCCTGAAGAACGTAACTATGTATAAATAGACAGCATAGTACACCTATGTTAAATATTTCATAATACTTGAAACTGTACAATAATATTTTGCTGCTTTGTTAAAGCTCCAAAAGTATTATTTATTAACTGATTAAATATTTTTTGATACTACAGAAATGTGTGTTAAGTTATTTTTCTTATTTCCATAAACAATATCAACAATCACTGGGTAGAACTAGAAAACAGTACCAGTTGCAAGTGGTGCTGATATTTTTTCATACACAAGAGGGAGCCGTCTATCAGACAAACATAGTTGTAGTAAAAAGGCAACCGGATTGTAAATGCTCAGTTTCCAAAACTGGTATAGTAAATTGAGGACAAAAAACAAGCACTATTAAACCTGTAAAATATTCCAAATGAAAATACTAACCTATTTTAATAAAGTTATCGCTAACCAGACAAACCCCATCTTTGACCTGTTATTAGTAAAATGAATAAAAAAACAAGAAGGCAGCTTATTATCTGTGCATAATCTTCTGCACCTTTGTTATACAACTTTGAAAAACCCAATAAAATCCTTGTAATGCAGAAGGCAGCTTATACTGGTATAGATTTACTACAACAAATGTCTAGATTGATTATTTTTTTTGTGCATGTGCGGGCAACTGGGGATGAGCCGGACGTACCTGGGTTTAGTTCAAAGTGAACATGCAGAACATGAGTAAAGTTTTGGTGCCCACTCTGAACCCCATTAAATTCAATGGGGTGGTAATGGCCAATTTCTAAGCTAACAGGCATTGGATTGTTAAACAAACGGCATGGGGGGGCTGAGAAACATACTAAAGTAAACAAGTTTTTAAATTCTGTTTGGCAGAATTTGTGTACTGGCAACGGGGCCGGTAAACAGATCTGTCATCGGCCGTGTCTGAGGTACACGGCCGGTGACAGATCGCACCTCAGTGCGGTCCTGCGGGCATGCGCAATGCGCGTTCCGTAAAGGACGCCATATGGCGTCCACCCGGAAGGACGGTGTCAGGGCTCCAGGGTATGACCAGAGGTATGTGAACTGACGCAGGGAAACGCAGGCTTCAGATATGTTATAAACAATATAATTTATTAACACTAACAATACATAAACGCAGTGCAATACTAAAACATAACACAGTGCAAACGAACCAAACCAAACCACCCACAGATAACAATACATACAATGCAAGCGTCGTCAGGCGGGCCGGGTCAATAACAATCGGGCAGGTAGGAACAGGAGGAGCAGGCAGAGAGTAGTCAGGTCACGAGCCGGCTACAGCAACTAACGGGCAGGTAGGTACAGGGGGTCAGGCAGAGAATGTTCGGGGTCACAAGCCAAGGGATCAACAGGAGAAGTCAGCAGAGGTCCGGATCAGGCAGGGTCAGCAACGAATCAGTCAGACAGGAACAGGAACAGGAACAGGGATGCAGGTAACAAGATACAGGGGCCCAGGAAAAACACACACCAAGGCCCAGACTGCAGGTCTGGCCATCCCTTAAATACACCTGCATAATCAGCTTAGGTGTTTGGCTGGCTGCAGGGTTGAGTCTCTGATTGCTGGGAGCACCCGCTGGCCAGCCCTGGTACTGCAGCCCACAAGGCAGGTAAGTCCCACCATTACTGGCAAGTCCATTCCTGACAGTACCCCCCCTCAAGGAGCGGCCTCAGGACGCTCCAAACAGTCCTAGCTGGGCAAAATGTTCCACCGCCCGGGTCTGGTAACTGGCGGGATATCAAAGACTGGCACATCGGGCAGGACTCCGGGCAACGGCACATCGGGCTGGACTCCGGGCAGAGGCACATCGGGCTGCACACCGGATCTCCAGGCGGAGCAGCAGGCACTGGGCCACCAGGTGGAGCAGCAGGCACCGGGCCCCCAGGCGGAGCGGCAGGCACCGGGCCCCCAGACGGAGCGGCGGGTGCCGGGCTCCCCGGCAGAGCAGCAGGCACCGGGCCACCAGGCGGAGCAACAGGCATCGGGCCCCCAGGCAGGGCGGTGGGCACCGGGCCCCCAGGCAGAGCGGCGGGCGCCGGGCTTCCTGGCGGAGCCGCAGGCACCGGGCCACCAGGCGGAGCGACAGGCATCGGGCCCCCAGGCGGGGCGGCGGGCACCGGGCCCCCAGGTGGAGTGGCGGGCACCGGGCCCCCAGGAGGGGCGACAGGCATCGGGCCCCCAGGAGGGGCGGTGGGCGCCGGGCCCCCAGGTGGGGCGGCGGGCGCTGGGCCCCCAGGCGGAGCGGCGGGCGCCGGACTCCCAGGAGGGACGGCAGGCACTGGGCCCCCAGGCGGAGCGGCGGGCACCGGGTCATCAGGCACGACAACGGGCATCGGGTCACCAGGCATCAGGTCATTCGGCTCGCCAGCGGGCACCGCGTCATCTGGCAAGGCAGTGGGCACCCAGTCACCAGGCACGACAGTGGGTTCCGAGTCAACTGGCATGACCACGGGCACTGGGTCAGACATTGGATCGTCTGGCTCGACAGCGGGCATCGGGTCACCAGGCATCAAGTCATTTGGCTCGACAGCGGGCACCGGGTCATCTGGCAAGGCAGTGGGCACTGAGTCACCAGGCACGACAGTGGGCTCTGAGTCAATTGGCACGACAGCGGGCACCGGGTCATCAGGTACCGGATCGTCTGGATCGACAGCGGGCACCGGGTCATCTGGCGTTGGATCGTCTGGCTCGACAGCGGGCATCGGGTCACCAGGCATGACAGCGGGCACTGGGTCACCAGGCATCAGGTCATTTGGCTCGCCAGCGGGCACCGTGTTATCTGGCAAGGCAGTGGGCACCGAGTCACCAGGCACAACAGTGGGCTCCGAGTCAACTGGCATGACCGCGGGCACTGGGTCAGACATTGGATCGTCTGGCCCGACAGCGGGCATCGGGTCACCAGGCATGACAGCGGGCACTGGGTCATCAGGCATGGGATTGTCTGGCTCGACAGCGGGCATCGGGTCACCAGGTATGACAGCGGGCACTGGGTCACCAGGCACCAGGTCATTTGGATCGCCAGCGGGCACCGTGTCATCTGGCAAGGCAGTGGGCACCGAGCCACCAGGCACGACAGTGGGCTCCGAGTCAACTGGCATGACCGCGGGCACTGGGTCAGACATTGGATCGTCTGGCCCGACAGCGGGCATCGAGTCAACTGGCCTAATGGAATCATCAGGCTGGATCAGTTCATCAGGCTGGGTAGAAACATCATGCTGGGTAGAGACATCAGGCTGAATGGAGGCATCAGGCTGAATGGAGGCATCAGGCTGGGTAGAGGCATCAGGCTGGGTAGAGGCATCAGGCTGAATTGTGGGCGCCGAGGCACCAGGCTGCACCACGGAAGGCAGGTTCTCAGATGGGAGGCTGACCGGTTTGGATACTGGCAGGATGGTATTGGTTGGAAAGAACTTTCACCTTTTCCTGGTTTTGGTTACCGGAGCACTGTAAGTAAGCGCAGGTTTGTAAACGGATGGAGCAGCTGGAGACAGAGAAGAGCTGGAGGATGGAACAGGGGAGGGAAGAGTTGCTACAGAGGACTTCTTTACAAGGTTAAAGGCAGGATAGGTGCAGCGAGTGGGAACAGGGTACTGACATGCGGTAGATAGCAGGGTATACTGGGCTGTAACTGGACGTGCTGTTGGGAATGCAGGAATAGAGCTTTGAAGAAATAGATTAGAAGCAGGACTGGGTTTTTGCAAGATGACTGAGGCTGGGTGCAACAAGTCTGACCATGTCTGCAGTATGGGTTGAACAAAGCTGAGCTTACACAAAGCCTGTCTGGTCAAAGACTGCACTGCATTTATACAATCCCTTAATACCTGTGGTGAACATGCAGCATAATGCTCCAAGAAGCAATCCACATCATCCTCTAATAACCATACCAGGGACTCTACCTGGTCTGCACTAAATGGTGGCAAAAATTCACCCCTGCTTTCAGGGGTACCAGATGAAGCCAACTCTACACAAACCTGAATCAAAGGTTGCACCTCAGAGAACTCTGTGCCCTGATCTACTAGAACATGAGCGATCCGTATACATTCTAGCAGTTGATCCCGGGTATACTCCCTCAGAGTCTGATAAGCATATTCTCTGTCATCAAAAACCAGCAGCGACAAATACACAACCTCATCAAGATCCATCCTTCCCAGCAACAAGCCAAGATGGCTTCCCTGTGCAGCCACTTCTGGTCAGGATTGGCCTTGGTGTAATGTCAGGGCTCCAGGGTATGACCAGAGGTATGTGAACTGACGCAGGGAAACGCAGGCTTCAGATATGTTATAAACAATATAATTTATTAACACTAACAATACATAAACGCAGTGCAATACTAAAACATAACACAGTGCAAACGAACCAAACCAAACCACCCACAGATAACAATACATACAATGCAAGCGTCGTCAGGCGGGCCGGGTCAATAACAATCGGGCAGGTAGGAATAGGAGGAGCAGGCAGAGAGTAGTCAGGTCACGAGCCGGCTACAGTAACTAACGGGCAGGTAGGTACAGGGGGTCAGGCAGAGAATGGTCGGGGTCACAAGCCAGGGATCAACAGGAGAAGTCAGCAGAGGTCCGGATCAGGCAGGGTCAGCAACGAATCAGTCAGACAGGGACAGGGACAGGAACAGGGATGCAGGTAACAAGATACAGGGGCCCAGGAAAAACACAAACCAAGGCCCAAACTGCAGGTCTGGCCATCCCTTAAATACACCTGCATAATCAGCTTCAGGTGTTTGGCTGGCTGCAGGGTTGAGTCTCTGATTGCTGAGAGCACCCGCTGGCCAGCCCTGGTACTGCAGCCCACAAGGCAGGTGAGTCCCACCATTACTGGAAAGTCCATTCCTGACAGACGGGCTGTTTGCCAGGCCGCCATCTGGCTATAGGCCAGGCGGCAGCTGGTTAATCATTTATACTTGTTGCGGTGTCACTGAGCCATTATCTTCTCTCAGTGCCAAATTCTTACATAATTCTAATCCTTCTAAACTCTCCCAAAAATTAAATACAGATTTTCGGGGTTTTAAATGTGCTGCTTAGTATGAATATTATATCTGCATCTCTAATCAAAAGGGAAACCTTGACAATACTGTTGTGACTTGATCAATACCATTGCTACCATAAACAAAGATACTACAAACGACCTATTAGGAAGTATTAAATAGAAATGTCATTCCATTCTAATAAATTCTGTGTACTCCACATGGAGTGGGACCTTAGAGACAACTGAGCCTTCTGATCTTACAGTAGATAGCATTGTAGAGGGCTTACTGGATCCACAGATGTGCACAGAGAGACAGGAAAAGGAAAGTACTATCACTATGTAGCACCACTGTGCAGGAAACAGAGCCTACATGTGTAATGAACTTATCACTGATAACAACACTATGTGATACTCCTAATAGATAGACCCTTGAGGAATGTCAGAACAGGAAAAATGAATGGCTGTGTCATCAATGTCATGTGATGCCGTTTGTCTGATGCCCTGACTATGGCTGTTTCAAGGCCTGCATGATAGCCGTATCATGGGATACATTGCCTGTGAAAGCAACAATATCTAAAGTGATGGCTTAGCAGATGATCACAGGGATAGTGGAGGTTTGGGGATTGAGTACGAGTGAGGTAAAGTATATCACAAGACCGCCATTTGGAAGCAGTGATCTGTCTTATGATGACAATATGGAGATGACAGTGTTGAGTCTCAGCACATGGTAGACTAATATGAACTGAATACATTGACTGTGGTGACGAAGCTGTGCTTGCTATACTGTGCAAAAAAACTTCTAATGTTGTACTTGTGGGACCATCCGACCATCTAATACTGCTAACACTGACCAATTACTGTACAGCTTTAGACCGCTTCAAAATCAAGCAATCTACTGACTGTCAGCAGACCCATTCAAAGGTATTTTAGCCCTGATTAATTCTGGACTGCAATTATGGAGTATGTCCGGTCAGCCCCCACCCTGTCTGCCTTTAGGCGATCTTTGAAAACTCACTTATTCAAGGAAGCCTACCCCACCTCCACCTAAGAACTGTACTTGAATCACCTCCACCAGATCATCCCCGCAGCTATCACCTTTTGTATCACCTCCCTCTTCCTTTAGATTGTAAGCTCCATGAGCAGGGCCCTCATATTCCTTATGTACTGAAAGGTATTATAACTGTACTGTCTCCCTTAAATTGTAAAGCGCTGCGCAAACTGTTGGCGCTATATAAAGCCTGTATTATAATAATACATTTAAATTACTGCATCAACCATGGTGCATATTCTTAATATTCTAAGAATTAATTGAATTCAACATTTTGAGCTGATGCTACTTGTCCTAACATTTAATTTGTGCAGTGTGGAGATCCATCTCTAAAACCAATGCAACATGTGTTTCTTTAGTGATTTCAGACTAGGGGGGGTTATTGTTTTTTAGCTTGAGCACCCAAGGGCTCTACTCCTATAAGATGTTACCCTAGTCTTGCATACTGCATATTTGGTAATCCATTAGTATGGTGTATTCCGTGGTACATCTTTTTGTGTAGAATCACTTGACATCAGAAAAAATGATTTTTTTCTGTGTGTTTTTGTGCTTGTTTGTCCAATATGCACTGGCAGCGAATTTTTTAATTGTGTGATTTTATATAATTCTGGGCCACCTCATTATGTTTTCCAAATTTTGATACCAAATATTTAAAATATATTTATAATAAAGGGATTTATTTTCGAATAAACCCAACCACAAATTTTTTTTCACTAAAAGTAACCACTTTAGTCTTTTTTGTGGCTGTGCCCGTATGCCTAATATTAGTGACACCCCAGCACAGCTAAGGATAACCAGTTAGACCTATGCAAGAGATAGATCTTGGTGTCACAATACATCATGTCTTACTTACTATTGGTATATTTCACCATATTTTATATAATGCTTGTTAATAAATTATGTTTTATAGTATTTTGACTGACATATTGAAATATTATATTCTTGAGTGCTGGTTCACACTGATTTCTGTTCAAATCACATGTGATTCCTTGCAGTGCCATTTGAGCCCATCCTTTTTCTATGGCTCAAATCACACTGCACCCACATGAACAAGATGCATGCATCTCTTTTTTGATGCACTGGAATTGGATGGTATGGGCGTTTACATCCATGCAATCCAATTCAGCCAATCACACTGCGTTTTTCAGGGTTTGTCGTTAACTTACTATTGACACCCACTGCGGTTTGCATGAATGATGTGCAATTGTGATGCGGTGCAGGAAACACACAGGAATCTCTGCTAATCCCACACCGCATCAGTGTGAACCTGGTCTGTTATTATATTTTATCATATATTATAGTGATAGTAATACTATACTATAGTATAGTAATTTTTGCAAATGAAATTAAAGTATCAATTTTTGGCATATTGTATAGTGATCTGAGTTTAGTTTAGATCAGTTGTGTGAAGTATGGTATGTGCAGTACCAAAAACATATTTACTCTGTTGCACAAATAAATAACATTCATGAGATGACACATGGGAAACCCCATGAAAAAATGCATATAATATAAATAACGGACACAGACAATAATTAAATTCTATTGGCCTAATCGGCCTTGGTCATTTATTAAAGGGGTAACCCATAACAAAATTAAAATATAAATCAATCATATAACTTTATTCTCAACCTAAAAAGCCCAGTCTTAAAGTGACACTAAACTCACATTTTTATTGTGTATTTGTATTTAAAGAGTAACTCTACTTTTGTTGAATAAAAAACAATCCTCTCTGGGTGATCTGTGTACATTGCAAGAATTTATCAAACTTTATTGCAGATTCCTACCTTTTGTTGCTCTGAAGAAAAAACATCGCCAAAATATGCACATTCCTAACCCCAGAAACCACTAAACAGCTCATCCACTCCCTCATCATATCACGACTCGATTACTGCAACTCCCTCCTCACTGGCCTGCCTCGCCGCTGGCTATCCCCCCGCTTCAGTCGATCCTGAATACGGCTGCCAGACTTATTCACCTTTCCAACTGCTCCGTTTCCGCCACCCCCCTCTGCCAATCCCTCCACTGGCTTCCGATTGCGCAACGGATCAAATTCAAAATCCTAACACTGACGTACAAAGCCTTCCACCATACTGCCCCGAACTACATCAACGACCTAATATCCAAGTACCACCCAGCAAGCACACTCCGCTCCTCACAAGACCTCCTTCTCTCTAGTTCCCTGGTCTCCTCCTCCCATGCCCGCCTCCAGGACTTCTCCAGGGTGTCACCCATCCTCTGGAACTCCCTGATCCAACCCATCAGATTATCACCTACTCTCCTCTCCTTTAGGCACACCCTGAAAACCCACCTCTTCAGGGAAGCCTACCCCACCCCCTGCTAACTTGCCGACCTCCACT